TTGTTAACAGTAGCCGCAAGAATTTCAGCTGCGAACTGTATAAAATTTACTTATTTCGCTTTCTCACTGAACCAGCTTTTCCCAACGCTCTTCTTATTCACGCAACAAAATCACGAAACTAGATTGGTGTTATCCACATCCAATTACCTTTTGATATTTTTCTATCTCTCACGTATGCGTGGAGGTGAATATAACTGAATTTCTCTAATTTTCCTTATGTCATCAATGCGGTTAGAAGACACATGTACTGGCTTCTTGGGAAGGTATTAGAAGTAAACATACACCCGACACATAGGCTTCGGAAAGGTGGGAGCTATAACAGTGTCATGGGAGAAATTAGAGAAGAGGGCGATTTCGGCAACCATACGCTAACGAAAGGCACATCAAAGCATGGCTGTATGGACCACATGAAGGACTGGTTCGAGGTTTGGGTTTGAAATTTGAGAGGGGTGTGATATGGCAGGAAATGCAAGCCGTACCCGCAACAGTAACAGGGCGACCATAGCACAGTAGAATAAAGTTTAATTCAAAGAGACACACCCTGATACTCAGTTTAAACTGCGGGCCGTCCTAAACTTGAAAGATAGCCTTAAAAGATAAGATACCAGATAATTGAAAACGTTTACAATACTGGCTCATATGATAATTTGTCTTATTAATTGCGTGTCTTTCTTCATCGAAAGACCTGAGGTAAGTATGATTTGCTCAAAAAAGGAATGAACCAACAGGATTTAAAAATATAGAGCAGACAGCACAGGCGTTCCAACTACTTGACAGGCGTGTGTGCCTAATACAATATTCTGAAAGATGGGCATTTTCGCTTTCAAAATTATAAATATACTGCACGTTTAGGATTGGCCTTTAAATAAAGGTTATAAAGTGTTATTCTTCTTGAAGAATAACACAGAAACTATTGTATACACTCGGAATTTAGCCGGTTTCCACGTTAGTTGAAGGATTTGGTAAAGTATTTGCCTCAACTATTCAGGAAACCACTAGCAGCTTTGGACGTCAAAATGGACAAGGTAAAAAGTTGGGAATCTCGGTGTTAATGAGATGCATGATACCTTTTTCCAATCATACATGAAGCTCAATAACCATCAGGTCTTTCCTTAGTTTGGTAATGCAAATTGAACCGATATTTCAATCGTCGCGAGCAGCGATGACCAATGCGTGCCAACGACGGGGGCAGAGGACGGTGACTTCCGAATAAATTATTATCGAGTATGGTTTACTTGCACAGCTTCTATTACACTCTCGCAGTCTGATTCTGGTAGCAGGACGGCCAGAAGCGGATACGGGCGCAGTGACCAAAAGACCTAAATATCCGTCAACACGACCATATACGACTGAGTCCCCACTAGATATACCGTACTGCAATAAAGACAGCACAGCTCTCATAAGGATGACTATTGAGTAGAAGCTAAACTCAGAAGGAGATATTGCAGCTTAACTCTCAGTCCGGAGAGTAAGCAACTTACCCCATTTTCGCCTCTTAAAATGCAGATCACTACCTGTGCTGGATGGAATAGCGCCTTATAAATCTAGGTGCAGTTTCTACAGTGCTCATTTGAAGTTTTTTTTTAGTTAGAAGTCTTCCAAAAACAGCTTGTGCTAGATGAACGATTTGGTCTAATCCTAATTAAAATAATCTTGCTGCGTACCCTTTTCACGCTTGATGTTATGTCTGGGACAGCCCAGGTGGCCATACCTCCCTGGATAGCGCACATAGCACAAGGCGGTATAAATAACTAAATGAAACTCAGATATGTCTGGGCATCCCTTTGATTCACAGTCACAGCAAAGCTGATTCCTCAGAACGGCTTACAGAGTTTCGCTTGTTGTTTCCATGTTACGTACTTTACTGCGAGTCAGCACTTAGCGCTTAATATCTTATCACGGCGACCCTCTCCATTGTCGTCTCGATTTGCTAAACCGATAGAGAAAATCTTTTTTCACGTACGTTTATTTTAAAATAAAATCTACAGTGCTCATTTCCTATTTTCGTTGGATAAGACATCGTGAACTGCATGAGAATTCTTAATATATTCCAGCGTGATAGGAATCAACGCGTAAGGCGAAATTTGTGAACATTGGAAATACAGCATAGGAGCCCTCAAATCACGACCCCATAGAAGCAAGTAGGGCGCTTACTTCTGCATTTTGCATGACTACCATTAACATTCTAAAAGCAGTTTAAGTTGTACACGTCATGGATCCCTAGTTCCAGCATTTGTTCTACTGAAACGGAGATAGTAGGGGTTTTGTGGGTGGAGAAATAGCATATGCAGTGAAAAAATTTGTAGAAGTAAGTTAATAGTGGAAATATGTGGTTAAATTTGTTTCCCGCGGCCGCTGAAAGTTGTTCCGCATGTAAATTGAAGGTATGCGCGGCGTTTCGCCCCGCGAACTATACTAATATAACTCCAGAATGGTAAGTTTGACCTCAGGTAATTTGAAACAGACGACTTCCCAACCACGACTTCTATTTTTTTTCAGGAATTTCAAGAAACCTGCATTTTGATAATCGGGTTTGTCCGCAATGCATTAAATGATAATACAGATAGGGAAAATCTACAGATATAAACCGAAAATAGTTCTAAATACATTAGGATTAAAAGGCATACAACAGTTATTAAAGTATATTCCACTGCCTATCCTAATCCCCCGCCCATAAAACCCCATATAATCACCATTTCCATAGGGCAAATGCTGGGACTAGGGGCATATAAGGTGCACTACTTAAACTACCATTGCCGCTTGCTTAAATTAAAAAATGGAAGCACCATCAGAAATTTACTATTTGTCGCTGCTTGTTCGCAGATGTTGTGAATTTTAATTAATACGGTGTTTGGCAATTGAAAAAAGTTGGTATTTGTTTAAAGAGGACCTACCTTTAGATAGTAAAAAAAACTTTTATATCCTACACGGAATATACAGTTATAAAACTGAATAAAGAGTAAATACTTGGCTGGAGATAATTTGGGCTTCGCAAGTTTTAAGGCTCATCCAACAGTATTTTCTTTGTGATCTGCAAGACGAGTAAACGTTAGTCGAGGAAACAACCTCTCTTGATTTTTAATTAAGTCTATATTTGTATGGATAAGTTGCCGGTCATACTGCAGAGTCAAAAAACTTGCCCGTACTTGCTTAGGACAGACTTTATAGGCAGATTATGTCTAAAAAACGGGGAGAATAAAATAGACAACTGTCGCTGATAGGCCGTGACTAGCTTATCAAGAGGTCAAGAATACGACAGGTTTGGAGCCCAAGTGAAATGGTTCAGTCCTTATCGGTTACAATCGATATTAGTTAAAAACACATCTTAGTTGCTACCATCGACCTGGCCGGACTATAGGCAGGATTGGAAAGCCAAAATTATTAAGTATAGTCCCTTTACTCCTTAAGGGCACCACGTCCTTATTCGGAATTGCTGACCGTTCTGTGACTACCTGCTAGATTGTAAATAAAGAGATATGAGACAAGAAAACACCCCTGTTCCAGCTCAAAAGAAGACTTGAATGCGAATACCGTTCCCATAGGTGTGACAATGTACACATTTTGTAACATGCCCTTTTGCACAAACCGTCTCCAGAGCTTCTTTCTGGTCATGAAAACTTGTCCGAGGCTTAGATGCTAATGCATAGACAAGCAATACTTAACATCCTGGACCAAATAAGAACCGAAGAAGTACCGACGTCTACTCCTTAGAATTTTCCTATGCATTTTGTTGACACACTAAACTGTTATATACGTTCTGTATCCCAAAAATGACCCGAAGTTTCTTAAGAAAGCAAACCATGGTACTTAGTACTGGCAGAATTTACTTAAACAACTTCAATCAAGGGCAGTGTATTTCAAACCCTTAAACTTAATAGTATAGGCTTGGACAAAAAAGGCGAACAGATTCTTGCAGACAAAGGAGGCAAGGGAAAAAGTTTGTTTTTGACTTCAGGTTTCGCGTTAAATGCAGCTACTCATAACCAAAAAGAACGGCTAACGACTTTATACCCACCTGCCAAATTCTTGACCAACCGCGCAGTGCCAGGTGGCATAAAAAGATTCATCAAACTTCTTTTTTATATAACCTGCGATACTCCATTCGACAGAATAACGTCGGAGAGCTTCAGCTGCTGTAAGAACGGCCTCCTGTTGCATCTTCTCCGACATATCCGAGCTTCTTATGAGTGCACGAAATTCCGTTTCCATGAAAATGGGTTGACACTGAAAGTGAAGGCTAAAGAAGGGGAGGCGAAGAACGGTGCTGCTGACACCAGGCTGTCAAGGAAAATAGATTTTATTGTGAGAAGAATGAACGTGTTTGACCGCACCATTATCATCATATCCAACAACGTCTCATGCTGTAAGTGGCGCTGGAACGCCAATGAAAGCAGGTAGAGTAAATGCTTAAAGGTAAATGCACAGTCTGTTTAAACCCATGGGTCCTCATGTGATTCGGCGGAAATTGAATCAACAACGTCATTACTAGCCAGTTAATTAACTGTATCAGCAAGCCCACTGACAAGCAGGCGTGATTCATCCCGTGGTCACAGGCTTGCCATATGATATTTAGCACGAAGTTGAATTTACTACTGCTATCTCACTTCGAGAGCTCTGCGGCGTTATGAAGGAATATGTAGGGCACAATGATAGAACTCCATGAAAGTATAGTTAAGCAGAATCTACTACGTGAGTTACGCAGTTTAAATTCACACAGTTCGATACGACAGCAAGGAAAGCGTAACATGCGAGTTCACCTTCCTCCTGTAGCCATTTCCCAAGAGAAGCTCGTAATTTGTGAGATATATGCTTGTTTATTGATTTAGTTGCTTCTTACAAAACAAACAGGCCGAAATCCGGGAGACAGATATAACGTTCTGAATAATTAAAATTAGTTAAAACGGTAAACGTATGAATCAGGATGGCAGTGAAGTTTACAAGAACTTCACGAAACCAGTTTTTAAATACACTAACTTTTAAATAAAGTAAGAAAACCCAGCTTGAAATGCGTTAACAATTATTGAATATTACTTAAACGCGCCTTTAGTAATGTTGATGAAGCAAAGTAATCCCGATATGTTCTGGTCAGATCATTTACCGACTTAAGATCGAGGTTGTTTCCGACCGTCGGTAAAAATGCCTGAAAGGTGATTTGATTTTTAGCCTGATTTGAAATTTCTCATAAATTCAAACGTCTTTTATAAAATATTCAAAAAGTTATTCAGTCTCATATTCATTTGGTAGAAATCTTAAGATTTACAAAACACTTTGAACCTAGCCTACAACTGTA